GTACAGGCCAGAGATGTGGAGGGTGAGAGGATTCACCAGAGACAGAGTGGGGAGCAGAACAGGCAGATAGACGAAGTACACTGCTGAGGGGAGCAGCAGGAGGGTCAGGAGAGGTCTGCCATGCCATGTAGATCTCTCCCAGGGCAGGCACAGACAGGGATCGAACTCATGCGGAAGTGGCTTAAACTTCTTAGTGCAGTGCTTTAACCCGCTGCGCCACCAGGGAGGGCCGAAACAACTTTTCTTTGTTAGATGATGATTCTTCCCTCCTGCTGCTCCTCACCCACACCCCACCAGCAAACATAGAAGCAAGGGTATTAATTCTTCACTGAGGCAGGGATATACCTGTCATTCTAGAAATCAATAACCCCATTGTTTCACAGATGTCAAGGGGGTATCTCTTGGGTTGCAGACCCACGGTCTCTCACATGTGTGCTGATTCTGGTTTTGACAGAATTAGATAGGATGCCCAACCACTCATCACTTTCTGAATGCTCCAAGACTTTCCAATTTTTCCTTTCTACTTCCTCCATTCCCACATATTTGTCTTTATCAAAGACCCTGAAATTTCCGCTATTTTGTTAGAACATCTCTTTACCTTGTACACTTCCTGAATGTTTGTTTAGAGCAAGTCCCAGGTGTTTTTGAAAATGACATTCCCTGTACTATTGTAATGAGAGATGATGTTGTCATTCTAAGCAAATATGTAATATGATGATAATAAATGCTTTTGTGTATTCTGTGCAGGTGAATATACTTGCAAACTGACAGTAGACATTTTTGAATATGAGTCCAGAAAAAAAATAAAAGTTTTACCCATCCGTGTCGTGGCAATTCAAGAAATGAAGGTGACTTGCAACAATAACCCTGCATCTTTGAACTGTTGCAGTGAGATTAATGTTAACTGGAGTAAAATAGAATGGAAACAGGAGGGGAAGATCAGCATTGCAGGTAAGAAAGTTAGAATCCCTCTTGCAATTTCTGGTCAACTAAATGGGAGATGTGGAGGATCAAGAGGAAATATTTTTTCCCCAGGACTTCAGACTGTGAGAAGGTACTTCATTTGATGTCAGCTGCATCTAGCCATTCTAGAACAAAACCCCTAAAACAAGCCTAGGAGTGTCATGTTTAGTTATAATCAAGATCCTGGCAAAAAAGACCTAGGAAGGGGCCTGGTGACTTAGGCCCACTGCCTCTCCTTGTCTTATCTACCTGTCTCTTCCATCTTCAGTAAAGAGCTAGGAAAGATTTCATCAGCTTTGCTTTGCAGTCTGACTTGGAATGTCTCATTTCTTTGTCTCTTCTCTTTGCATCTGTCCTTGATTCTTTGCCTTGGTAGCCACACTGTCTTCTACATTATCTAACTGTGTATCTCTGGTTATTTATCTTCCTGTTTTGAATCATTGCATGGCAGTTTCTGACCCTACTTACTTGTTTTAGATCTGAGATCTTATCTGGAGTTCCCCTTCCTCCAGCTTATTCAGAAAAAATGATAATAATAATAATAAATTGACAGTATTGTCACTGCATTATAAGTTTACCCATTTTTACGAAAATATGTTTTGCTTTTAATCACATTTAATTGGACCATGAGTTTGAAGTTGGCATTTTTTCCCCTTTAATTTTTCAATAAGGAAGTTGAAGCCCATAGGAAATGACTTATTCAAGGTCACCATGATAAGAAAAAATAAATGAAACAAAGACTTGTAACTCCTCTCAGGCCCTGCTTCATGAGACCAGTGTTTTATACAGACCAGACTGTTATCCACGCCTGGTGTGCTGGGGCAAGCTGACCTGCCAGAGTTTGTGCTGAGGTAGAAGACTGACTTCTGCTTAGCAACCTCATGCTGCGAGATCCAATTCCCACCTCCTCCAGAAATGGCAATATGATGTGCTCCTCATTAAAGGAATCATTCATTAAAGGATAATGTGATTTTGCCCATGAAGTACATTAACATGTTGTACAAAGTCTGCTATTGGGCTATTTTAAACTATTCTAAAAATTGATTAATGGTCATTTTTACATGCTTTTACATTTTGCATGTAAAAGCATATTTATTTTCAAAGTATCTTTCAACAGTAGTGTCTCTATTCCACTTTAAAGTGGCCAAAAGACTGGGAAAGTCCTCTGGCAGCTGTTGAAAAGGTTTACACAGGGTCCAGTTAGTCACTTTCCTCATTTTTAGAGGAAGTCTAGACATGTTGAAGCAACTGCCAAGTGGAAGAAAGACCCAGCAAAGGCCTCAGGGGACTGACTTAGAAACTTTCAAGTCTCAAGTTGAAATACCTTTGCTATCTGGCTAGGGGGCCAGGAAGACTGAGGGGCAGATGCGTGGGGACCTATCTGGGAACACCACTCTTCAGCCATTCCCAAAGCCCAGTGCAGGCTGGACAGTCTGGGAAAAATGGACTTCCTGACTTCCTGGTCAGCTCTGACAAATGCGGCTTCTAGTCTGGGCACCCTGCCCTCTCCCTTCCTCCCCTGCAGCCCCCCTCTCTGCAACAGTCTTCTCCAAATTCCACAAGTTCTTTCCACACCTGTATTTCCAAGTCAATGGAAAGCAAAGGAACTAACTACACTACCTCTTCTCAGGAGTGTTTGCATTTCATTTTTAAAACAGTCTGGCAAGAGATAAGACAGGAAGTAGTGGAAATGGTGAAATTTCTAGATGTAAAAGGATGATCTTTCTTTTGCAATTGGGAGGATTTTTCAAATCATCAGGTAGCAACTAATGACATTTACTTTGATGGTAGCAGAAGTAATAGATTTGCATGTTGACTACTACTACTAGTACTACAGGTGCTAATAATCACCATTATTCACGCAGCTTCTGGTTTACCTGCATTTAGTACTCAGCTTGCATGTATGAAAACGTTCTGACCACTTGGAGTTAACTGTGAAGTCTGTAGCTTCATCAAAACTCTGTCTAGGTGTGATAATGGAGCCTTCATTTCCTCATTGCCCATAAGTAAAACTGTTCCAGATGACTTCATGAACTTCCTCTTGGCAGCCTGTGCTGTTTCTTTGGTCCATGGAGACTCAGAGCAATTGAGTCTTTACAAGAAGGTGTCAGCCCCTCCTGTCTGACTGTTGAGACACAATAAGGTGGAGTGGCATGCTCACCTCGCCCACCATTCCCCTCCCTATGTCTTTTCTTTCCAATTGCTTTGCTTCCATTTGTGAGTGTGTGTTACTATGTGTGTGCATTATGTAAAATGTTGGTTTTTCAGCTACTCAGGGCATCAACAAGAGCTAAAAAAGTGAGACTTTTATTTCTTTATTAACCAGAAATCAGTCTTGTGGCTTTCAAATCACTTTATAAAGTGCCAGCAGAAGCAGGCCAGCCTCAGGGACTAATGCAGAAGCAACTAGAAGTAGTAAGTATTGCTGGAGGGCAGCAGCCTCCATCCTGGCTGCCCTAAGGTGAGAGTAACCCCAGTTGTTTTTTTAAAAAAGACCATCTGTCAGGGTTCCATGTAGGGCGAAGAAATCAGAATTTCTGGGTTTGAGCTCTGTACAATGGCATTAAATGTAATTAAATTTCACAGGAGATTTTCTTGGGCACAGTGAAGTAAGAGCCACGGATCTAGTCCAACCATTCATTTTCATCTCATATTCAGAAAATCGAGGGCAAATATTGCCCACAGGTGAAGACCTTAGCATTGTAATAAGCCTGTGACAACTCACTCAGCTTCCTCATGCATGTGTTCCACAAACTGGTTTATGCTGGTTCTCATCAGGGGCCAAGCCTGATGAGGCCACGGCCTGTCTCTTCAGACCACAAGAATTCAGAGGACTGTAAAGATAACTTGACATATAGTGAGGTAGTCATTTTATTGTATGGGGCACCTGGAAATTTCTGTATGTTGTTTGTCTAAGGCTATTTGAAACTATTGCTTAGCTATTTTTGTATTCCTAAGGCCAGTTCTTTGTTCATACTTGAACAGGGATTAGTTAGACATCGAGATGAATAGAAACACTTAGCTGATGAACTAGGAAATAATTTACTGAAAGCAGGTAAGATGGAAATCAATTTGGTTTACTGAATAACAAATATGAGGACTGGAGAGAACGGTTGGCTACACATTAATCAAAATATTTTAACTGTCGCTGAAGAGTCAGCGAAGACTGAGTAAGATGCATTCATGTTAGAACTAACCACAAGCTTTATTGTATTTGTTTAATTTGGGGAAGATTGACAGTGTTTGAAAAATGCCTTAAAAATATGTGGTAGTAAGAAAGGTTGAAGGAGATAGAGTGAGAGAAAGTTAGGTTGAAAAAAATTCAGAGGGTATCACACAGACTTAAGAAGTAAAAATGGCTGAGAAGGAATGGCCTTTTGGGAATGAAGATGCTGAAGAGAAAGTTATAAAAGAGGAATTATTTTGAAGGAGAAAATACTGAAAACCTGAATGGAGTTGAAGTGTCCACTAAAATCAATTACTTATAAGGAAGAACAAAGTATGAAAATGTTTCTCAAATGAGATGAATATCAGATATTCCAATTTTGTTTCTTCCTCCTTTCAATAATGACTTTTTTTTTTTTTTTTTAGTTGAAATTACCTGCAGGTGACTTGTGACTATGTTTTTGTGTTTAGACTCCAGCACCGTTCCTCATGACCTCTGTAAGGGGCGGACACTGTTCTGTTTACAGAGAGTAACTATATTACCTGACTTAATCCTGGGCCATAGCTCTTGTTACTTATCCCATTTTACATCGGAGAAAGTAAGACATAGCAGCTTAGTGACTTTATCCTGCTAGTAATTGCTAAAGTTAACCAGACACTCAGGCTTCTGAATGACATCCCTAACCACTATACAACCCTGCCTCTCCATTAAAAGGACTCATTCTAATATAAATAATAACACCTTTTCACTGATTTGGCATCTTTGCTACTAAATCAGAGTTAGGCAATTTTGACAGCCAAAGAATTGCTCTGTGGTTGCAGGAATCGCTGAGACAGATTCAGACTGCAGCAGATACACCTTCCAGGCTGATGGAACCCAATGTCCCAGCGGGTCCTCTGGCACAATTGTGATCTACACATGTGAGTTCATCAGTGCACATGGAGCCAGGGGCAGTCACAGCATAGAAGTCACGTTCACATCTGTGGGTAAGGACTCCCTAGCACTTTTAACCTTTTCAAAAAAACCTAGTTGATTGGGATTACTTCTAAGCAATAAAGCAGGACCTTCTCTGGTGGTGGGAGACTGAAGATAATTTTCCTTTCTGCTGGTTAAATTCAGATGAAGTCTTTAAAATCAAGAAAGGTAGGGGTTGGAAGCAAAGGCTGCTGGGAAGGAAAGGTTACAGCGTACAGGTGAAGTGAAAGTGGACTACGAAGTAAAGCTTTTACTCAGATTACCTGGTTTAGAGAATGCATTTATAATGAGGGAGCAATCCCTAATTTTCCCCATTCTTCCCCTCTTGAATTCCTATAGCCTGTCTCATCCCTAACTATCTCTTACCTCCCTCTATCACCCTTCTTCTCCCATGTCACTTATTCTAGAAAAAAATGCTGCAAAAATTTTTGATTATCTGATATTTTGAGATCATTCTAAAATTGTAAAAATAAAAAGTTTTTATAATCTTTCAGCTTAGTTGACCTCTGCACACAGCATTTCTTCTTCTCTGCCATGAAGCATTATACTACCAACCTATCTTCAAAAATGGGGTAAACTTGTTTTCCACCTTTAACTGGGGCTACATGGTTAAACTGCTCACAGATCTTAGAGCACAAAAGAAAAAGAAAACTTATCTAGCTTTTTTTTTTTTTTTTTTTTTTGAGGCTTGTTTTCACAAGTGCAGTCTGTCTGTAGTGACCCAGCTTGAGTCAGCAGAAGCAATTAAACTGAAGCTGAGCTCCAAGGTGGGCTGGGCCCAGGAGACTGAAAACACAGAAGTAGGTGGATTCACAGGCAGAGAAGCGCATCAACAGAAGCTCAAACCCAGTTACCTAGGGGGGTGGAAAGTTCTCATATTTCTCCATGTACAAACTTCCCTATAACAAGCCAAAGAACTTCAGTCCAGTCCACAAGTCTTTGCCTATAGTCAACAAAATGTAACTCTTCTGTTCTCGATGTGGATCCCAAACTTATAGAACCTCACCCACTTTTCACACCAGGGGGCAGATTAGAGTTTATTTCTTGCCTCCTTGCCAATCAATTTGCAATAAAGCTGCTTTCTTTTCTCAAAACCGGGGTCAGGGTATGAGCCTCCCCACACATCAGGGAGTGAATCCATGGCGTGGCAATATAGCCACCGTACAAAAATAAGTTGTTTCGATAAATTGTCAGCTGTCTGCCCCCTCAAACAACTTGGAAAAATGATTGACATCAACAAGACGTGTGACTCTTGTTCACATTGTCTATCATGACTTAGCATCTTTACATAGAGCAAAACCTGGTTCTTCTGAAAACATGTTTCCTACAGAAGAGCTTATGAATCTTTTGAGCAAGTTATAGTTTTCTAGTGAGAGAAATTATTTATCCCAAGTTTTAATTCTGAGAGTTATTTAAGTATGTGGGCTTTTGGCTCTCTTAGGGGCAGCTGAAAACCACGGTCTGGTGATTTAAAGCCCAGTGGTGCATCAATACTGCCAGATTCACAATCCTATGAGTCTTTTCCTTTCTAATCTCAGAAACCTTTAGGCCATAGAAAGCCATTTCCAGATCCCTATAGCTAGTGAGAGCCAGGCAAGTAACATATGGCCTACCACTTAGAGCCAGATTTGAACACGTGAAGCCCAGTTTCTAAAGGATACTATGGAAATCCCAGATTTATTTTGATTATGACTAAGAATATGATATTAACCGATAGGAACAAAGAGCCAGCCTTGAAGTCAAGGCATGATATTGGTCACTATAGAACACAGAATTGAATGGCATTTTGAAATGTTAGCCATGTCAAAGACATGGTCAAAGGGGGTTGGAAGATATTTATTAACATTATTAACATTTTTGATGAAAAATTTCTCATAAACCTATGAATTCTCAAAAGTGAAATGAATGTAGAGAGGCTTGCAGTGTGAGTGCCAATTCAGCTCACTGCCTGCAACAGTCCAGGTTAATTATTTGGACTATAACTCTATGATCCCTTACTTCAAAATAAGTTCCAGAAGTCACTCTTCTTAGGCGCCCTGACCACGTGCTGCCTGTGGCTAAGTATTAGGAACGCAAAGGATTCCTGTCCATGAGGAGTTCACAAAAGGAGACATAGAAAGAGAAAAATTAAAATGCAATACAGCATTATTTTTTTAAAGGTACTTTAATGAGAGTGTGTTACACGAATTGAGCCACTTACTCTCCCTTGTGGTATCATGGGAGAGGTTGGAGGGGGATCTTGGGTTAAGCTAACACCCCTAAGTTTGCAACCTTTCGCTCTGCTGATCATTAGGAGATAATTCCAGCCACAAAGGGGAAGTGCACGTGATGGAAGTGAGTTCAGTTCAGAGCACCACCGCGAACAGCCTAGAAACAAGTAAAGCCCGGGAGCAGCAAGGTACCAACCCCTTGTTGACACAGTAGAGCCAGGATGGGCCATGCTTTCTGTCTCTACCTTGTTTTAACTCATATGTCGATGTGACCAGAATAACTAAACATTGCGCCTGTTGTTGGTTTTCTTTTGTCTGTTTTGTTTGCATTCTTTCAGCCAACCTTACAATAACCCTGGACCCAATTTCTGTTTCTGAGGGGAAAAAGTTTTCTCTAACATGCATCAGTGATGTGAGTAACTATGATGAGGTGTACTGGAACACTTCTACTGGAATTAAAATACTCGAAAAGTTTTATACCTCACGGAGCTTTCCTGATGGAGCAGAGTCTGTGCTGGCAGTCGAGACCGCCACCACGGAGTGGAATGGTGAGTGAAAGAGCAGATACCTACTCTGCTTGTGGGACCCCGGGATGTACAGTGGAATTGTTTTCCACATTGCCTGTGCTGGTGGAACAGGATGGGCCCAACAGAAGGGGAGGTTCCAGTTCCCAGAGCCACTCAAAGGAGGTTAGAGCTGAGTAGGGAGGAGAAGCTAGAGAGGAGAATGGAGAAAGGAAGGGAGAAGGATAGAGAGAGCAAGAAGGAGTCCTGGAGGAGGCCCATGGAGCAGAAAGACATGTGAAGAGACTTAGCTTACCTCCTGGCCTTGGACTGGTTGAAACAGATGTAGGTGAGAGACCCGTGGGGAGGGTGATAATAGCAGCTTTTATCTTGATTTTGATTTTGCTCCTTCTCTCCCAGATGTGATGGGCCCAGTCTACTCCTTTTCTGTGGGTCCCCACCAGGAGGTGCCTTAGACTGTGGCGGGCTGTTGGGCCTCAGTGGTCCTGCTTTGGGTCAGCCCTGTTTGTCTGGTCATATACCCACAATGGATGGGTAGCTTTGGGTGCTTGATTGGAAACTATATTCTTTCCCTTATCTCTATTGCACATTAATTGTATTAAAGTTCTTTTCCATTAAAAGTCTTATGCACTAAAGTATGTTTTGTCTTGATGTAGCAGATGGTAGAACCCATTTAGAGTGGAAAGGTTTGAGGTTCTAGGAGGGGGGCTGTAAAACTGGACCATTCCTATCCAACCACTTTGCATTAAATATTGATGCAATATGGGGAGAGACTTTGGTGTAAAGATGTTAATGTTTCAATTTTATGTATGTGGAAACTGAAGTTCAGAGAGGATAATAAATATACCTAGACGTCCACGATTTAAGTTGTAGAGCCAGAACTGGAACTAGTCCCTGATTCTAAAGCTAATGTTCTAGCCATTAAGATGATTGTGTTTTAAAGTACTTTTATCAAACTATTGAGACTTTTTTTGTTTAAGGATTTATTTATACATATAAGAACTGGGGTACAGGACAGAGGTGTAGTCTGTGAGAGGGTTCACCAGAGACAGAGTGGGGAGCGGAACAGGCAAATCTACTGAAATACACTGCTGAGGGGATCAGTGGGTGGGTCAGGAGAGGTCTACCACACCGTATGGGTCACCTCCCTGGCCAGAGATCAAACTTGTTCTGCAGTGGCTTCTGAGAGCTTCATAAAGTGGTACTTTAACCCATTGCACCACCAAGGAGGGCACCAAGACTTCTTTTTTAAATGGTGGTTAAAAAAATAAAATAGGCCCTCCCTGGTGGCGCAGCGGGTTAAAGCACAGCATTAAGAAGCTAAAGCCACTTCTACATGAGTTTGACCCCCGCCTGCCCTGGAGGTGACCACATAGCGGGGCAGACCTCTCCCGACCTGCCCGCTGCTCCCCTCAGCAGTGTACTTCATCGATCTGCCTGCTCTGTTCCCCCCTCTGTCTCTGGTGAATCCTATCACCCTCCACAACTCTGGCCTGTACCCCAGTTTTGTATGAATAAATAAATAAATAAATCTTTTAAAAATTTTAAAAAATAATAATAATAAAATAAAATAAAAACCTAAGGAAAACCTTAAAAAATCTATGTAAAAGTTTTACATACTTGGTTCCAAAGAAAGAAACATGTTTATTTTCCATTTATCTCTATATGTTGGTTATGTTGGGAGGTTATGAAAATCTTTGAGTTGAAAGAGTAGTTCATAAACTACTATAATAGCTGATATTTATTAAGCCTTTACTGTGAAATAGACACTGTTCTAAGTATTTAGTCTTACGTACAGGTGGGGAAACAAGCCTAGTTTCCTACTATACAACCTGAGATTTTATGTCTGGTAAATGACAGAGCTAGGATGAAACTGAGACTATGTTATGATGGGCCAACTTTAACCTCTCCGCTTTGAAGTCCTTCGTTAACTAAATGATGGGTAAGCCCAGATACTTAAGACCCAGGGCTTCCTTGTTGTTTGATATAAGACATAGGAAGCTTTGCAGAAATGAAAAGCTGGACTTGGTAGAGATAGTCAGGAGGGGGCAGTACCTTTCTCAGGGTTGAACTCATACCTGCTCAGTTCAACTGTTCTCCCCCACTCCTGGCACTAACTAGAAGTCAAGGTTTTTCTGGTGCTATCGAACTGTTATACAGTCCCATACTCAGGTACCCAAAATATCTGCGCTCATGTAAATCAACTAGGCTTTCCTTTTATATTCTATGTAAATATCCCCTCCCTCCTAAAAGGAATTGAAAGGAATTCCTCTCTCCCCTTATTCTACATGTTTTCCCATGGAGAGCTTATGCCAGTGGGAGCTCAGAGAAGAAAAGCAGAGAAAATGAAAGGGTCTTACTTAATTGTAGGTGCTATGCTGTCTCCATGGTAACTCTCCAATGGTGGCTCACCCTCTGATGGCTAATGGACAGTCCAATGGGGAAAAAGCTTTTCATGAACTTCAACCCAAGTGTTCTCCACAGTCTACTCTGCCCCCCAACCGTTGGGAGTGCAGGTTGCTCTTATCCAGTCTTCTCTTTTCACTTTATATGATCAACCACTATCTTACCTTAAAATTTTTGAGATAAGAATGAACTCCAGGGGTCACAGGTCAAGTTGTCCCAAAAACTTATAATCTCCCCATCCCTCCTCACTACCCCTCTCCCCTATGCCTACACTCCTTGGTAATTATTTTATTCCATCTCATTTTTGCCTTCGTCCCCTCAGGAACCTACCACTGCATATTTAGATATAAGAACTCATACAGTATCACAACCAAAGATGTCACCGTTCATCCTCTCCCTCTGGAATCGGACATCATAGTTGATCCTTTAGAAGCTGCATTCCTATGCGAAAATAACCATGAGTTCCAGTGCTGTGTAAAAGAGGATGAAGACTACAAAGTAATGGTCCAGGTGAATTCCTCGAATTCTTCGAATTCCTCATCCTTTCCTGCTGGTAAGATGCCAATTATTAACTTTTTAGGACGTTTATTCCATATATGTACAATCTTGAAGACTTTTAAAGTGAGGGCCAAGAGACATAAGGGTTGAATCAAAGACAGAGTGAATGTAAGAGCACAGATTCCCAGGAGCCTCTAGTCCCTTCAAAATCTTGAGAGTTTGTGAGGGTCAAGACCATTGTTTTTAGTGGGAGCTGTTGTTTCATAGGCCTTCAAAACAGTGTGATTCTCTCTCACTCCAGGCTACAAATCAGCATGCTACCAAAATGCCCAAAATCCTCTTAACTGCACCATTTAACATGTAAGAAAGTAAGAAAAATGGGGCCCTCCCTGGTGGTGCAATGAGTTAAAGCAGAGCACTATGAAGCTATTTGCAGCCACTGCAGCACAAGTTCAATCCCTGGCCAGGGAGCTGAGGCATATGGCACAACAGACCTCTCCTGTCCTGTCCCGCCTGTTGCTCCCCTCAGCGGTGTATTTCAGTACATCTGCCTATTCTGTTCCCCACTCTGTCTGATGAATGCTTTCACTTCCTGCACCTTTGGCCAGTATCCCAGTCTTGTATGTATAAAAATAAGTAAATCTTTCAAAAAAGAGAGAGATGGGGAGGATAGAATCTCACATTAAAAACAAAAACAAACAAAAAGCCCAAAAAACAAAAACAAACAAACAAAAAAGGCCAAAGGGGAAAAGAAAAATAGAAATAACTTTTTAGCTCATGCTAGAACTTCCCTGCTGGCACTTGCCAGTATCAGAGACCTGGAATCTCCATTCTAAGGCTCTAAAGAGCAAGAAAGGAAAAGCCTCGCTCCTCACTCCATGATACAAAGCTAGGATCCTCAAAGAGTGGCACACTCTATAAACAGTTGCCTAGGGAAACAAATCACCTGGTAGAATTTGGCTTAATCAGTTTGTGAGCAAAAACACCCTTTAAAAATTACAGTTGTATTAAAAAAAAAAAACAAATTTAAAAAAATATATTACGGCTGTGGTCCTACCTGGTGGTACAACAGGAGAGGACTCAGCCTTCAAGCTATGTACAGCAGCTTTAGTGCGAGTTTGACACCCAACCCCAGAGCTGACCCACATGGCGCAGCAGACCTCTCCTGTCTCACCCTCTGCTTCCCTCAGCAGTGTACTTTGTCGATCTGCCTCTTCTGCTCCCCACTCTGACTCTGGTGAATTCTCTCACCCCTTGCCCCCCATATACTCTGGCCTGTAATCCAAATTTTGTATACATAAATAAATAAATCTTTAAAAAACAAATAATAGCTGGTTTCACCCTGGTTTCATCCAGGTTTGGGCTTTGAATTTATACTACCTATGTGGTTCAGAGGCGCCAATCTAGACATTAAAAATTAAAAATCTCGACATTCTGCATTCGTTATGCACATATCCAGTGTTTTCTATGTGCCACATCCTGCACTTGGTATGAGAAAAAATATGGATAAGACAAATACTTCCTCCCTAAGACCTTAAAATCCAGTGGGAGAGGAAGTCACCAAAATAGGTATGTCTAAATTATTTTTTTAAAAGATTTATTTATTTATGCATACAGATTTGGGGTACAGGCCGGAGGTGTGGGATTCACCAGAGACAGAGTGGGGAGCAGAACAGGCAGATCGACGAAGTACACTGCTGAGGGGCGGGTCAGGAGAGGTCTGCCATGCCATGTGGTCACCTCCGGGGCAGGCGGGAATCGAACTCATGCTGAAGTAGCTTTAGCTTCTTAGTGCTGTGCTTTAAACCCACTGCGCCACCAGGGAGGACTGTGTTTAAATTAATTTGGTGAAAGCAGTGTAAGGTAAATTTACAGGGTGTGATGGAATTGAGATAGAGGGGGCACTAGACTCTACAAAGCAGCGTGGGTACACATTTGGTGTCTACAATAGTGAACGTAAAGTTTTGTCTAGCACATATGCAAATGTTCATTTATTTCTAAGAAACAATACGCATAAAGTAAATGAGTATAACCACATTAAAAATTAATATGTCACATTCCTGGGGAAAATGTATAAGTTTATGCTTATCTGGGTCATTTTAACAAATCTGTACTTTGAACACTCATTCCGTGATTTAATTCTTTCAATAACTCTACTTTAGAAAAAGAAGTTAAAGACAGACAAGTGTGCTACAAATATAAATTTCAGCCAAATTTGGGTCCTTGGTATCCACAAGATGTTGAGGTGGTCTGTCTCTTTACCAATGCTGCCAAAGGTTCAGTCAAGAGCCCCTCAATGAAGCTTCATCTGATACCTGGTGAGAGAATTTTAAATTACCTTAAAATGTTGTAGTCATGAGCAGGGATTCATTCATTCTTTCAATAAATATATGTTGAGCACCATCATGCAGCAGGCCTTGGGCTAAGTATGGGGGATTTGGAAACAAATACGTCACATTCTCTAGCCCAGAGCATAGGAGAGATAGACATGATAGAATATATATGATAGAACACACACACATATAAATACACATATGCACACATGTGTATACATACATGTGTGGGTGGTCAGGTCAGAAGAGGCTGCCCTGGTGTTTGGTGGGGAAGAAGTGATCAAGAAAGACTTGTAGATGAAACCATATGGCAGCTGAGTCTAGGAAGCTACATACTTCATAGGCAGATAAGAGGAGGTATCTGTGTGAGCCTGAGACCCCTTAGGGGTTCCAGCAACGGCAGGGTGTCCCTACTGACACTGTTTCACTAAGACAGAGTGACATGAAAATAACTAGCTTGAAGACCTGGTGACCATCTTTCCTGTTCTTAGTCATCACTGGGTCAGTATCCCCCTGCATAGTATATTTAGGGTAAAGGTCATGATTCAGAAGCCATTTCTGCCATAGCTCAAGCTGAAGAGCTCTCTTCAGTGATGAAGGGCCAAGTGCATAATGGATGATTTTGAGTTTCTATCATAAGCAATCCCTTCACTATGAGCTCATCCCAGTCATAGGACCCCAATATCTGAAGGATCCATGGCTGTGTCACCAGCCTGTTTGAGTTGTCCTTTCCATGAGGTGCTGGCAACACCAACGCAGGAGGCAATTTAGAATCAGTTCCCTGTCTCTGAGCTGCTCCCCTTGACCCCACCAGGCACACTTTTTCCAGGAACAGTGAAGGTCACCTCTTCATTGTCCCCCATCTTAGCCCAGACATCAGCATATATTAATCACTTTTTTCTTTTCCTCTTTTGAGTCTGGTCCCATAGATTTTTACCAGTTGAACATTACTTACTAATTTCAAGATTTTATACAATGGCTGAGATCTCAATGCTAAATGAAAAGGTCAGTTGAAGATAATTCTACTCAGAACCAGGGTTCCCTGGAGATTAGATTCTTCAGCAAATGCCATTTTGCCACTCAAGTTTGGTTATAATGAGGTGAAAATAGTGAACTTTAAGGGAAACTAGAAAAACAAACACAAGTATTATTTAGAATATTCAGGTCGAGGATGTCTGGAAGACCTACCTCTAATGATAGCTTTGGATTTAGGTGGTGTTTCTCAACCTTGACTGCTACACTAGAATGTGTGTTTGGTGGGGGCATGTGTGTGTGTTGCGGGGATGGGGGGTGGGGTGAGAAGCACAAAGACTGCTGCCTGAATCCCAATGGAGAAGTTCTGAATAACTCAGGCTGGCGTGAACCTGGACACGGGCATTGTCCAAGGTCACAGTTGATTCTACCACACTGGAGCTGAGAAACGCTGGACTCCGACATTGAGTCCTTTGGACTCCAATAAACTCAACATCTCTTATCTGAATGGACTCACATCAAGCCCTAATTATTTTCCATATCTTGGGTTTTATAGACAGCAGAGAGTAGAATCGCGGAGATTGAAGATAGGAAGAAAGCACAGAAAATAAATTCTACTAGGATAAGCAAGTGAGATTAAAGTCACAGATCCATGAAAAATAGTAAGAGGTTTTAGAAAGTCGGGGCAAAATAAAGAAGTTGAGTAACTCTAAAGGTAAAGAGACACATGATTTGAGACATCAAAATTCCCCCGAGGTCTGACCCCATTTCACTGTCCCTTATCCTTCCATTTCTCCCTTTTATTTCCATGTCTGCAATGCAGAGGGAAACTTCGCATGTAAGGATCCCAACTTAGGTGTCGGGAAGCCTGGGAAAGTTGTTCAGCAGTCGTGTGGGTTCTCCAATGTTACCCAAGATTGGTTTGGTGGAAACATAACCTACAAATGCGTAGGCTCCCAGTGGAAGATGAAGAGCAACAACTGTGTCTGGAACTCAATAAACAACCTGTTCCAGCAGGCCAAGGTGATCCTTTCAACTTTGACTCTCAGTTCTTGGTGGGGAGATGAGTCAGGCTTATTGTAATTCTTAGCACTCAGGGTCTTGGGCTGGTTCATGTTGCTTTTTTTTTTTCTTAAATTTTTCTAGATTTATTTATTTATTCAGACAGAACTGGGGTACGGGCCAGAGATGCGGAGGGTGAGAGGATTCACCAGAGACAGAGTGGGGAGCAGAACAGGCAGATCGTTGAAGTACACTGCTGAGGGGAGCAGCGGGCAGGTCAGGAGAGGTCTGCCACGCCATGTGGTCACGTCCTGGGCAGGCGGAGACTGAACTTTTGCAGAAGTGGCTTAAGCTTCTTAGTGCAGTGCTTTAACCCGCTGCGCCACCAGGGAGGGCCCTCATGTTGCTTTTAAAGCTAGTTTATGTCTAAAGAAGTGTGAACCCTAGAGATAATTAAAAATATTTAGGGTGGGAAGAGCACAAGGAACTACGATGATGGTGCACAGGTGAATTGGTGGTGGGAAGTTCACCGGGAAATCATACATTGTACAAAAATTAAGGAAGATGTAATGAATATATTTAAAAATAAAATTTAAAACTTCATAAGTATTGGATGGAATCAAATAAGGGATCGGGGGGGAAATGACAAAACTAGCAGGCACCTTTAAATCAGAGACATTTAGCAGAGGAGAGGGAGGGAAAAGGATTAAAAAGCAGCAGAAAGAGCACAAAAGACTGTGGTGATGATTCACTGGTGACTTGGTGGTGGGAATTCACAGGGACCACACCTGAAAGGGAAGCAAGCAAGCATTGTACAAAAATAAGCAATAATGTAAATATATAAATATAGATATATAGATATAGATATAGGTATAGATATAGATATTTGAAGGCTGAATTACCTACATATATGTATTTTTTTTAGTATAAATTTTTAAAAAATACTAAAAAAAATTACAAATATGGAGGTACAACATGTGTGCTTCTCTCCAGGGTCAGTTGTACAAACTTTATCTCAATTGTTCATTCCTTTGTTTCCAAGGACAGGCAGTATTAGCCTCATTAACCACTTTCCTTTGAACAATTTTGATATTAAGCAAATAGCTTTAATCTTTTCAGAGAGAGAAATAACATGAAAAATTAAAGTTCATCATGCAAAAAAAAATTGTTTTAGTCAGTTTTTTTTTTTTTAGTAGGTGTGAGATTTCCTCCTCCTTGGATGTAACTTAGAGTTCTGAAGAAGGACTAGCTTGCCTTTTTGACCTGGAAAAGAAGTTATTGTTACTTGGTATGGGGACACTCCTTTCTTTCCATCAAAATAAATAAATTGCACCTCACTTTTACGTGGGGGGAGTCAGAGACCTCTAAAATTCCATGAGCAACAATAAACACGGATGAGGAACCTAGAGAATGTTATAGGTGTTGGTGATATCTTCAGACAACCTTCCAAATGGTCTCAACTAATGGAGAAAAATTAAGAAGGGATACTACCAAACTGAGCTTATTTCATGTGACAGGTTTTTGTCATGGATGGGTCCCTAGGATTGGATGACTGACTGATCTGCACTTTTCTGTTTGTCTGTGCTGACTTTTGTTTTACTAGGCTTTGGTCGAGAGCCCCTCTCTATATGAAAAGCTCCCTAAATACCTGCAGGATCTTTACACTAACACAAGCAAGATGGAACATGAAGTCAGCCCTTCGCCTGGGAATCTGGCAGCAGTTATCAACATCCTTGACATGCTCTCAACAGTTACAACCCAAGTGAACATAGATATGATGAGAGTGAGTTTTTTTAAGCCTCACAGGAGTTTAGGGGTCTCATCATTTCACTCCTTCAGAGCTTGTGATCCAGAAACCTAACTCCTAACTATTGTACTGTCTTTCCTCTCTTTTACTTCTTCATCTTTTTTTTTGTTTTTAAAGATTTATTTATTTGTGCACACAGAACTGGGGTACAGGCCAGAGGCTCAGGGGCAGCAAGAGACTTCACCAGAAACAGAGTGGGGAGCAGAACAAGCAGATCAACGAAGTACACTGCTGAGGGGAGCAGCGGGTGGGTCAGGAGAGGTCTGCCGCACCATGTGGTCACCTCCGGGGCAGGCAGGGATCAAACTCATGCAGAAGTGGCTTTAGCTTCTCAGTGCTGTGCTTTAATCAGCTGCGCCACCAGGGAGGGCCTACTTCTTCATCTTTTAACCCTAGCTGTACCTCTACCAATTTCCCCTCAATTAATATGACAGAGCAATACTCTAGACATTATTGTCACACAACATGCACTGCCAATTATAGCTTTTAAGGTACTCAGGTAGATTCCTTCAGGGACCTTAAAAGGATTTCTTTAGTGAATCTCTGTTTTGGTTTTTTCATGAAAATGCAACGAGTTCTCACCTGCTTTCTAGGAAAACTAGAAAAGGCTTTCAGACTATGTACAAGATGGATTCTCAGTGATCTTGTGCTAAACATAAGCTTTGAAGTAATCGGGTTGTGGAAGGAAAGAGAATTCATCCACAGGAGTTCAGATGACGAGATATTAATGAAGGGATTTTTATCAAAATAAAGTTAGGGTTAAAAGATATGAAGTAAATGTGTTGAAGCGCCCAGAAATCAGCATGATTTGGGTGTCATCATTGTCTGAGGACTGAAGGAGAAAGGAGAGGCAGTAGTTACTCATAGCCACAGGAGAGCAGAAGCCTTGTGTGGGAGGAGGGTTACTCCCAAGTAATCCAGGCAGCTATGGTCTTGGAAAGACCTTGCACGCGCACACACACACACACACACACACACACACACACAATATGCTGATGGGTGTGCAGTGGGTACGAGGAATGTGATGCATAGTAGAAAAATATATATTTCAACTTCTTTCTTCCTTGACCCACCCTCTGAACTCCTACCAATACTTCCAATGGCCAAACCCAGCTTGGATCACAAGAGCGCAAGGAGGTTCTGTATATTTCTTGGGGCTGCTGTAACAAAATAGCACCAATTGGGCAGTTTCCAATGATGGAAACTTTCTCTCTTATGGCTCTTGAGGTTGGCAGTGTGAAAGTAAGGTATCTGCAGGAAAACATTCCCTCTGAAGTCTCAAGGGGAGAAACTTTCCTTGTCTCTTCCAGAGTCTCAGAATCTGTTGGCTCCAAGATTTCATTGACTCATGGCTACACCATCCCATTTTTTCTGATTTTGTGTTCAAATGGACTTCTCTCTTCTCCACTTATCTTCTTCTTGTCATTGGGATTAGGATCCCCCTAGGTATTCCAGAATGCTCTCCTCTCCAGAGCCTTAATTTAATTGCATTAAAAAACACCCTGTCTCCAAGTAAGATCACATTCATGAGTCTGGGTATGAAGACAGCCATGGGGAGCCAGGGGGACAACATGCCATTAGTTGCAGAGGTGGTAATTCAGGGACAGGAACAACACAACAAGAGCACAGTGGGAAGACAAAGATGGAAAATGACAAGCCCACTTTTGTGGGAGAATCAGATTGTTTAACAAAGTAAAATGTTTTTGATAACATGGCACTGCCTGTTTAAAGTTCTGCATTTGAAGGGGTTGCCTGAGACTACCCTTCCTGGTGAAATATTAACCACTAAAAAGCCTATACTTTTAAAGATACAATAAAAATAATTAACAAATTATCTCTACCACCTGCTGTATGGGCTTCATGAGTATTGTGGTTCATTGACACTATTGCTAATTGTTTGAATAGGCCTATAGTCTTAGGGACATTTCATGTGACAGGTTTTTGTCATGGATGGGTCCCTAGGATTGGATGACTGACTGATCTGCACTTTTCTGTTTGTCTGTGCTGACTTTTGTTTT